AAAGCCTTGCCCTGCTCCCAGATGCGTGGGTATGGAGCCAGGAGCCCCCGTGGGTGGCTGGTGAGCTCCGGCTGCATCGCCCTCCTTAGCCTGGGAGCTGATCGCTGCAGGGACACCCCAACCAGCGGCACCCCGGGGTCCGGAGTGGGGCTGACGTGGGCCAACACTCTGGGGAAGCTGCAGGTTGCGGTGACAAAGAGTTCAGACAGACAGTCAGAAAACAGAATGTGAAGTATTTTTTTTTTTTTATATACAGAATACAGGAAAGTTTCTGTAAAGTCTAAAACGTTACAATTACTATGTACAGTGGAACTAGCTGTTCTGCTGCGGGGAGGTGGCATATAAACAAAAGAGAGACAGACAGGTTACGACAAACGATCTGCTACAATAGACAATTTGAGGAACGTCATACCACATGTAGCACTGTACACAGCTTTAAAACATTGAAAAATGCCATCACTGATGTATTTACACAGAATCCAACACTTTTCCTTATTTGAAATAAAAATAGGATGGACACCAGGAAAAGAACTCATTTCTCACTGCCCATAATACACAGTAGCTACTTGTAGTGCAACCATAGCAGGGAGGGATGGGAAAAATAACTGTGGGAAGAAGAGCGCTTCTTTACATTAAATAAAACAATGATATTGTATAGATTTGCTGTATGAAAACTGTATTTCTCTTTTAATATAAAACTATTGTCACTGGCACAAAATAGAACAAGTTTCTGATTATTTTACAACTGCATGGGAACTATCTGTCAGAGAGAGTCCTCGAGTCAGACAGCGGTCGCCCCTCGCTCTGACGCGTCCTGCTCTCACTGCAGTTTTCCTTTTAAAATGAAATGTATAGTACAAATATATGTGCAAATGCCCCTAAAACTTGAGCAAAAAAGAAAAATTAAAAAAAGTTAAACGTTCTTCATTTCATGCAAACGGCGTGTGAACAGTCTCTGGGCCGACATAGAAAATCCCACCTCGGTCTGTACATTTTTGCATTGCAAGAGTCTGAGGGCGTTTTCCTTACTCCGAAGCTCTCTTCCTAAAAATTCCTAGGGAACGGAGTTGGACCGCAGCACGGGCACCTGGTGGGGTTTCAGAGAAAGCTTCTCCTCCAAGTCCATGTCTTGTACTAAGGCAGTGTCCCCCTTGGGCTGTTTGGTCGCAAATTCAGTAATGCTGAAAACAAACTGCAGGCAGCCCAGCTTGATGTAACTGCCGTGGTGGAGCAGGGCTGTCCCCTCCCAGCCAGCCCCGCTGCCCCCGATTAAGCTGGAGCTGCTGGCTTTGCAGTTACAGGGTTTCCGATGCTGCCCTTGTGCCTGCGAATTCATCACAGCGGCTTCTTCATGCGGCTCCTCTTCTTGTTTTCTGCTTTTGTGTCGTTCTGGAAAAGAAAAAAAAAATAAATAAAACCAACCAAACCATGTAAGATGGGGGCAGGCCAGCGGCAGCTTGTTTTCATCAGCAGGGGCTACTGCTGAGGTGCCTCAGGGGTCAGATCCTCCAGCCACGACGCGTTGCAGGGCAATGCAGTGAGCGGCTGAAAAGGGAAACAGCCCCGGAGAGGTAGAGGCATTTAAATGTTTATTTTGGTGGCCAAAAAAAGTGGAAGCCGATCAGGTGGAGAGCAGGAGTAAGCCATGCGGGGATGGGACGCCTGTAGCACAGCCCAGACCGCTTACTCCCAGCCTGGAAGGGGAGGACATGCGTGAGGAAACCCCTCGGTCCAGCTCTGAACCTGAGTTCAGCAGCCAGGGCTGGAGCTTGGTTAACTCCAGCACCGGAGGCAGGAGCGGGGTTAACAGCAGCAGGCTCGGCAGGCCCACAGAGGAAGGTCTTGTGTAACCCAGGCAGAGGCCTGTGGAAAGACTCCCCCTTTTGCAAGAGTTGCACCAACCACTGCAGAACCAGGGGCAGCGGGCGAGGAATCTTTTTGCTCCTGTCCCCCTCTAATAGCTCCCTGTGGCGTTAACCTGGGGGGCCAGCACCATCTTGACACTCACTTATCACACTCTGCACTTTGGCAACAATACTGCTGGGAGGAGTGGGCGTCATCTTCTCCGAGAAGTCACAGGAATACAGAACATTGTCCACGGTTGTCCCATGCTCACTGTAGTTTAACAGCTCATAATGTTTTGTATTCTGAAAAAAAAAAAAAAGGGAAGAGGAGGGAATCAAGACGTGAAGTTAGAAGGGCTTCTGCCCATATACCCCTTTGGAGCACTGAAACGTAACCCCTCTCTCCCTGCTGCCGTTGATGGGTAAGTAAGAACAGTTAAGCATCCTCCAGCTTCAGAGACCAGCAACCCAAACCTTGTGCACGGCTCACGCTCCCAGAACAGCCAGCTTTCCAGCCAGAGCTGCTTCCCGGCAGGGAAGGAGGGCCAGAGCAGCTTTGAACAGAAGTGGGTTCTACCTTCTGCGCTTGGACCAACAGATCTTTTGGAAACAGATCCAAGCCAATTCTCACAGAGCGAGCACACCATCGTAACGGGCACACTAGATGCAAACTTTGCCCAAGACCTGCCCCTAGCAGGAAAGAGCGTGCTGTGGAAAGTAGACCTGAGATGTCAAGAGGGATGCCAGCGTGCTGCAGCAGCCAAGGTAGAGACAGTCTGGGATTTACGAGGTTTCTGCAGAGGCTGAAACGCCAGGAGACATTACAGTGACACACAGCATTACACAGGCAGCGTCACGCTCAGCTGAGCTTTGCAGAGGATGTTGACAGTAGAGGAGATTTCAGGTTAGCTCACAGGAATCATCTGAGGGCTGAAGACCTTGCCCCCCAGGGACTACAGAGCTTTAATTGAGTCACAAAAACTCCCCATGCACAGGGGAGTAAATTTTCAAGTAACCTGCTAGACTGCAGAGCCCAAGGCCAAGCGTGGCTGCCAATGGCCAGCAGCAGGAACAGCAGAGCTAAAGAGGGGGAATTCTCCCTCTAGAGCCACCACTGGCATAGGTGGCCTGCTGGAGTATGGAAGAAAGTCCAGTGCCCAGAGCCTGATTTAGGCTTGACCACCGTGAGGAGATGCTCCAACACAGATTTAAGGTCTGGATCCCATTACCGAGCGCATTCTGTGGCTTGTAGCGCGCTGGAGGAATGGCTAAAGCCGGCTGTGGGTTAATCCTGGATCCCGCTCAGTAGCTGTTTGACAAATGGTGATATAAAAGACTCTATCTTGCTTCAAAGACTGTTTCCATGCTAAGAGACATCTCCAGCGGCGCTTTTATTGGCAGACCCGCCAGCCTATTTACTTCAAGAACAAACTAATCTCTGGACTGTAGTAAAGGAGCAACTGTAGATCTCTGTTTATGCTGAAAGCTTAACAGAAATTTTAGTTAAAGAAATGATTTATACAGAGTGCTGCAGATGGCATGAATGCTTTGCACCACCATCACACCTGAAAGCAAGAGGCTCAGAGCAGTTCCCAGTTTTGTTCCAGCTGAGGTTCGATGTTGACACGTGAAGTTTATCTTTTATTAGCGACGCAGCTGGATCAAAAAGTATCGAACCATTTCTATGACTTTTTCCTTCCCCAGACACCAGCAGTGACAGTGCTTACTTGTGGTCAGTCTTTGTCAGGGAAAAGCCATGCGCAGAGAAATCATGCTGGCAGAGCTGTGTGCTTCAGAAGAGGGCTTGACAGAAAACGCTGACGCAGCCTTCACTGGAGTGAAACCATTCACAGCCCTGGCTCTTACTTTGTAGTCCACAAAGGAGAACCACACAAAGACAACCTGCTGCCTGCATCTCCAGCTCCCACTGCCATGCATGCCAAATAATAAAAATAATAATAAAAAAAACCCCCAAAACCCAACACTCAGGCACTCACCTCATCGTAGAATATGCAGGCATGTTTGCCAGACACATAGTTACAGTGACCATAGCTTGTAAGGCACACATCCATATCAGCTCCTGTCAACAGGGAAGACAAAACAGGCTCAGTTAATTTAAAAAAAAACAAAAAACAACCACAAAACCAAAACAACAAAAAAACCCCAAAAAAACAACCAAAAAAACTTGTCAGGCAGCAGAGAACAAGAGACAGAATTAAACTTCAATTAGCAAAACAACAGGGGAGCAACTGCCTTTGTCCGAGCTCCCAGGACCGCATGAATAATGCTTCGATAAGCCACCGAACAAAGTTTCAGTGGGGGAAGGGAAGGCTAGCAGCTCCACGAAGGCTGAAATGCATTTCACAGTTACTGGGTCTATCCAATGTGCCTGAAGTATCTAAGCAGAAAGAAATGAAACCTGCAAGCCGACCGTAATTCCTCTCTCCATCAGTCAGGCATTAAATCTCTAGGACAGCCATTCTGCTAATTCTGGTAACAGCCACGTTACAAAGGTGCGACCCCACTGTCCTGATTTGGGCTGGGATAGAGTTAATATTCTCCCTAGTAGCTGGCATGGTGCTGTGTTTTGGATTTAGTACAGAACAAGGTTGATAATGGGCTGATGGTTCAGTTGTTGCTGAGTGGTGCTTACACCAGTCAGGGACTTTTCAGCTTCCCCTGCTCTGCCAGGGGCACAAGGAGCTGGGAGGGGGCACAGCCAGGACAGCTGACCCCCACTGGCCCAAGGGCTATCCTATACCATATGGCATCATGCCCAGCACAGAAACTGGGAGGAGGTGGCGAGGGGGCAGAGGTCGCTGCTCAGGGATGAGCTGGGTATCAGTCAGTGGGCGGTGAGCAATTGCATTGCACATCACTTATTTTGTAGATTCTCTTCTCATTACTACTACTATGACTATTATTATTATTCCTTTCCTCTGCTGTTTAAACTGTCTTTATCTCAACTCATGGGTTTTACTATTTTCTGATTCTCTGGCCCATCCCACTGGGGTGGGGAGCAGTGAGTGAACAGCTGTGCAGCGTTCAGCTGCCTGCTGGGTTAAGCCACAACACCCACAACGATTCAAGTGGACAGGGGATTTCCACGTTTCTCGGTAGTGTAGAATGCCAGTACAAACGGCCACAATGGGTCTTTTCTCTGACGCCCACTTGGCAAACACTTAGGGAGGGTCAGGAAGAACCACCCTGATTCTGAAAGGTCAGGGCAGGAAAAAGCTACTCACCTGTCCCAATGTAGAGGGTTCGATAGCACATATTGACTGCACCCCCTAAGCCCAAAGGATAGAACACTGCCCGGGCTTGCACTTCCTTTCTTTGCGCTGCAAGATAAAAAGAAGTTACTTGAACCACGTTATCAGCTACAAAGGCTGCTGGACCCCAACATCCCCAGTGCTAGACTCTCCAGAAAGCACAGATGCTGAGGAGGGTGCACTGAGCTTTGGCCTAAACTCCAATTCCCAACCCTCTATGAATGTTTGTGCGCTAAACATCTTTTTGCCAGTCATCAGAGAAAATTGCTCTCTCCAGTAACCCACAGAAGCCATGCAATTGGGGGAACGTTAATACCAAGCGTGCACAATGGAGCCACACTGAGGAAAACACAAGCCTCCTACCACTAGCTTCTTTCTTAATCTCTTCCACTTTGCGTAATCAAAGAGCTGAGTCTTGCTGTCAAAGTGCCACTTAAAAAAAAATTGGTGCTGGTGAACATCACCAACTTAACAGCTGCGATTTCACTTCTCATGAAGCTGCAGGAAAAACACAGGGGTTGAACAGGGCTTGTCCAGGGACCAGCCCAGCTCCCAGGACAGGATGATTTAGTGAGTGGACTCCCTTTGCGCTCAAGTTGGTCCCTACGGCACACTCAACGATGGCTGACCCAGGGCTGAGCCTCCAGAGCAGCTTCCTGTCAGACAAGTTCAAATGACACATTCTCACATGTCCACATTAACTGGACAGAAAATCATCTTCTGTGGAACGGATATCAAACTCTGGTGGACCACGCAGGCCTAGCCAGGACTTCAGCAGCTGTCTTTTGGAGGCAAGCCCCTTCTATGCTCAGAGTTTAGGCCTGATACTACATCTGCATGACCATTTTACACCAAGAGCGTGAAATCAAAGAACAGAACATGAGGATTACGAGAGATTGTTTGCAGAGCCACCTACGTCAAGAACATTGGCCACACTGAGTGGCATCACTGGACGTGCAGCACTCAACGCAGCTGAAGTGCGCAGGTTCCCACCTCTGCCCAGCTGCCCTGCACAAGCCCTTTCAGCTGCCTGGCTCTGCTGGCTCAACAGGACTCGCTAGAGGCTTTGAATCTAATATTTCATCAGCAATGCTAAACAGTCAGCTGGATGCATCATTCCTGCCCCAAAAGGGTGATGGGTTAAGACAGCATTGATCTGCCTTTCGAAAGGCAGACTGCTGAAGAATTTCCAGAACTTGTCTGTTATGAGCAGCACAGGAATGCAGCTCATATCACAGCCTGGTGCTGTGTCCTGCAGCAGCGTTCAAAAGAAGATTGACAAAGCATTTAGAGAATGCTGTGATGCTACAGCAGCAAGCAAGGTTACTGACTGCTAAGCAGACTTCCAAAGATCTTATCTTGGATATTTACCCCCAGGCCTAGCAGAGGGGGAGCAGACAACTGCTCCCACAACAAGGCTGTCCAGTTAGTGCTTGAAAGTGGACTAAACCGACTGGCTGCATGCAGAGGAACACGAAGCCATGCTCGCCCTGCAGCTTTAGGTGTTAGCATGCCATAACCAGTGACCACAAACAAAGCCAATGCTGAACTCGGGAATCTGGAGATTTCCAACAGAAGCACAAGTTGTTTTCCATTATTTGCATTTAGTGTTTTCAGCTTGAGAGTGACATTATTCTGACTGGGCAATGACAACATCACACATATATTCCATGCCCTGGTTCCTCCTTTCTCTCACAAGCAACTTCTCCAGAAAGAGAGCAGGAATTCATGTATTTCTCTTGCCCATCTCAGAGGGGAGAACAAAAAAAAAAAACCACAAACAAACAAACAAAAAAAAAGCAGCTGAACCTTCCCATCTCTTGCTAATTCTAAGATGAGTAAAACACAGCTACACTAAAGATTTCCAGCAGAAAATCAGAAGTTACTGAAGGTATTTCCATTGCCATAATTTGTAAATAATTAAGTAGAGGGACCTGAAGTTATTTCTGGCCAGTGGATACCCAGAGCAGGGGATAAGAGGAAAGAAACGTGAAAGGCAGCATCAGACAGATACCAGAAGAAGAGGGAGATCTTCAATGAATAGGCAAGGGAGCGCCAAAAAGCCATGGCTCAACATAAATCAACTATTCTAGGGCTGCTCTTACCTTCAATGTGGTTTCCCACAGGAGACTGCTGATGGGAACTGACACTGCTCGCTAGAGACTGAGCTTTGGAAGGAAAGAGCTGATGTATTCTCTGCAAGGCCAGAAACTTGATCAGCTGCTCATCCAGCATATTTATCTCAATCTCTGTTAATAAACAAAAAGCAATTAGTAAGTTATTCACAGAAAGGGTGCAATCTGAGCTGCAGTGGATTTAACTGTCCCACTTTCAAACTTGCCATTTGCTTCAACAGCAAAGACTTGACAAATTTTGCAATATCAAGAATCTTACACAGAGGTGACCTATTACTTCATATCATATCCTGTGAGCAGCGTGCAAGTAGAGGGCCAGCAATGGCCAGAGCGCTACGATTCAGGCAGCAAGCAGAAGTTTAGGGGAACAAGGGCTGATAAGTTGAAAATCTGCTGGTTTGGCTCAGAATCAACAGGTCTGCAGAGGCGGATATGGCGCCCCTTTGGGCAGCAGAAAGTCTGACCCTATATTACAGGGGAAAGCTGTAGCCACCTTTGAAGCTGCTACACGCTCGTTCTTGAGTCACATGCTTTTGTAGCAGGGTCAATTAAACCAAACAGGGCAATTCAGACGATATTATTAATGTGCTTTAAACCAGATCTGTTGCTGATAGCTTTGAAGTATTTATATTTGTGAAGCCCTACAGAGGTCTGCTTTCTGGCAGCACGCAGGCTGGCTAACCTCTTCTTCCAAGAGCTTTCTCCACATCAACAACAGTTAAAGCAGCAAGCAGAAGAAGCCGAGCTACAACGGCTTTTCCCGATAGCAGAGAGGTAGTCTGGGCAGGCTGAGCAGTCGGGGTTCGCCCAAGGAAAGAGGGTCACACTGGCAACGCCAGAAAGACCATTATTCAGATGCAGAAGTTGTCTCTGGCAACAGCCTCGCTATGCTACTAATGATGGCTGTTTAGCGATCTCCTCCTCCTGAAGTCACTTTGCTAAGGTTTGGCACTTCTTGCCAAGTGCAACAAAAGGAAAATAAAAAACGTGCCAGTCTGGGAGAAGACTGACAGAAGCAGAAATAAATGAGAAAATTAACTGACCCATTAAAGCATCACCACTGTAAGATCTATTGCTGCTGGACTTTATGCCCGTTGGGAACAGCTCTGGATTGCAGCTAGCACCACAACATGGCAGGGCTGCAGGTTTCTGCCTGTGAATTCCACCTGGAAAGCAGCCCGTGCAATAGCTTTGTGATCGTTCCCCAGAAAAGCTTCAGGCAGAAACACTTCATTGGCCTCGCTGCCTTGGCAACACTACAAGTAGGGAAGCATGTGACATATTTAAGGTAATGTATACCCAGCCCCGCCCTCACCTGACTGCAACCCTTCTTTATCTCTGGAACTTTTCCTCAAGCAGAGACCAAATGCTCTAGGGAAGCAAACACACAGGGCTAGTAGAGACTGATAATGAACCAAATACTCACCACCATCCATAAATGCTTTCAGGGAACTGGTGAGGTCCAACATAGCTGCAGAGTTTGAAGTGAGTGATGAGGGTAGAGTTAAAGCGCTTCCTATGGATAAGGTGCTGGGACTGACCTTACCATCTACAGAGAAAGATGGTGCAGAGAAGATATGTCACTGTGACGTTCGCGAGCCACGCACCCAGCCCTCAGGCTGCACTTCGCTTCCAAGCTGCTCAGAATGACTAATTTTGCTCATAGTCATGCTTTGAAAAAGGCCTGAATTAGATGCCGTTTGCTTTCTTCCTCTCACAGGACTAGCACGTGCCTCCAACAGAAAGCCAACCGCCGGCTTCTGCCTCTCACCTCCCATTGCTGGAGGAATTCTGGACCCATATGTTTAAGCTCCTACTCCCTGTTTGTAGCAGCAGCAATGGCAGACTCTAAGTAATGTCCTGCAGAGGCTCGAAGGATAAGCACTGAGTCCCAGGAGCCTGAAGAGCTTACTAAACCTAGAGACATTTACCATGTACCTCGCTAGGTCTGAACATGCATAGAAAATACAATTGCCCTGTTCTTATTTCTGCACGATTATCGAGTCTGGGACGTACTTCGCTGTCCAGTAAGAATGTGACAGTCATAAGCAGATTTCATTATTTACAAAACAAAATCCTATTGCTTTGGCAGTCACCATGCAGCTGAAAGAGGCAATGGCAAATGCCGGGAAACAAAATCCCTTTGAAGAGCTGTTGATACCAGATCTTGAGTTGGTTTGCTTAGAAGTAGAACTACTATAAGCCTGAAATTTATGGCCCAAAAACAAAAAAAAAAAGTCACAAATGATTTGTATTTTTGTACTCAGCAACAAGATTTGCACACCATAATTCAAGATTTGTTATAAATATATATGCATTGTGTTAGATGGAAAATCTAAATATTAACATGTTTCCCAAAAGACACTGCACCAAAATTATGTTTTAGCGTGCATTTTGTAGAACGCAAGCTTTGCACCAAAAGCAATTATTTAGCATCTTAAGTAACTGCAAAATTATGTAGGGTTTGCAGCGCTCTTCAAACCACAAGCAAGTTTTCTCTAGTATGGCCTCATTTCCTCTACCAAAACTTCTCCCAGCCTGGCACTTCTAAGCAGGGCACGGTCAAACTAGCAGCCTCAGACTAACCAGGTTTGTTCAGCAATACGCAAGGAGGCCAAGTACTCCAGGGACTGCTTCCACACATGAGGTAAAGCTGAGAAGTTACTCATTAAGGAAGCTGAACAAAGGGTTTGCCAGTTTGAGTGCTGAGCTGGTGTAGGGGAAGGGAAGAGAAAGAGTACGCTTTAAGTGAAAGGTTATTCTAGCAAAATTTGAGTTCTGGGCAGTAACTCTGACTTCCAGCTACCAACATCTTTCACCTAATGTTTTTATACTGAAGAATGGGTCTGTGCGCTTTAACAGCAAGGTGTTTGGGTACAACTCAGGACAGAGATGGTCTATCCTGTCCATAACTACGCTGTATTAACGGACTAATGGACTACAGCTTCCCAAGTCCACATTTCTCCAACATCAAGGCTGTGCAGCTGAAGACCTTCCTGGTTTGGGCTGGGATAGAGTTAATTTTCTCCCTAGTAGCTGGCATGGTGCTGTGTTTTGGATTTAGTAGGAGAACAATGTCCGTAACACACTGATGGTTTAGCTGTTGCTAAGCGGTGCTTACACCAGTCAGGGACTTTTCAGCTTCCCCTGCTCTGCCAGGGGCACAAGGAGCTAGGAGGGGGCACAGCCAGGACAGCTGACCCCCACTGGCCCAAGGGCTATCCTATACCATATGGCATCATGCCCAGTATAGAAACTGGGGGGAGTTGGCCAGGGGGCAGCGATCACTGCTCGGGGACAGGCTGGGCATCAGTCAGTGGGTGGTGAGTGGTTGCATCACTTGTTTTTTATCCCAGGCTTTGTTTCTCTCTCTCCCCCTCATTGTTTTCCTTTTTATGACAAACTATTATTGTTAATAATTTTAAATTTTATTTCAATTATTAAACTGTTCTTATCTTAACCCACGAGTTTTCTTACTTTTTCTCTTCTGATTTCTCTCCCCCATCCCACTGCAGGGGGGGAGGGTAAGCAAGCGGCTCTGTGGGGCTTGGTTGCCAGCTGTGGCTAAACCATGACAAGACTTCAAACACATCTGTACTAGGGCACCCAACCATCGCCAGAACAGTCACCGTATACAGAGATCACAGGATCAGAGATGCCAGAGAGCTGCTCTTGGGAGGAGGACTACCCTGCAATCAAACCAGTGCTTTAAAACAAATTGGTCGTTTTAAAGGAGCACTGGAGCTGCCAGTTGTTGAAACAGCGAGACAGCAGCCAAGTGATTTAAAACTACCATTGCTTCCAGAATTCAACTGATCTACTATCCTGCTTCTCAGGACAGAGTTCCCCTCTCAGCCAGCAAAAACACATCCCGTGGCTCCCATGAAGGGATGCAAGACAGAGGGTACTTGAGAAACTTCTCCCAGCTCTCCACAGAAAGCCCCATTCCCAGTTAAACGAGGGCATGCTACTAGATCCTCGAAGTTCAGAGTAACATTTAGCCTGAACAATTTCTCAGCCCCGGGGGGGCCAAGATCAGCTGTTCAGCACGTACCTGAAGGTGGTGCTGGTGAACAGAATCTGTTTGTGGACCCAACAGCAGAGATCCCATCTCCTGCAGCCTGAGGAGGGGTGAGAGCCCTCGTGGCGGTCAGAGGGGAGCCCATAGATCGCAGGTCTGCCGTCAGCGGTGGTCCTATCTGTGTCTGCACATTCTTTCTTTGCAAAGTGCTGGTGGTCTCCAGGCTGGCACAGGAGCTCGATATGGACGTAGGCATACTTGTGACAGGCACAGAACCCCTTTGTGCACAAGAAACGGGTCCTGCTACGTTCTCTGTTTTGACAATGGTTCCAATGGTGTGATTCAGAAGTCCACAAGTCGCTGGGGGTGTGAGGGGCCGAGGCCACGTTTGCCGATGAGACAAAACAGGTATTGTGTTACCAGATCCGATTAGTCTCTGGGAGTCAGTCAACTGTGCTGAAGATTCGGACGAAACGCCATAGAAATGAGGACCGTTTACTTTAATGTCAGAGGCTGTCGGCCCATTTGAAGTCCCGCAAGAAGATACCTTCTTGGATTTATCTATACAAGAGCTGCAGTTGACATCTTCCTGTGACAAAGTCTGCTGGGATTGCGAGGAGCTCAAGGAATTCTGGGTGGTAATCCCTGAGGTGCAGGATGACATGGAATAGAGGGAAGGTGTGGGTGCCTTGTCAGCTGCCTGGTAAGGGTTGGCGAGTGAGCCGTCTGCCACAATAACAGGCTTAATATCAGCCTTCTCTGTTTGTTCAGAGTCCCAAAGCGAAGTCATCTGCTTAGCAGATAAATGTTTCAATATGCTGCACTGGAGCGCAACAACACTACAGAGCCACTGGGAGGAAGAAAAAAGCGCAGATTAGCTCCACGGGCAGACAGTGCTCCAAACCTCAACAGTTACTCCATCGTTCACCCAGCTCAAAGAAATTCAGCTGCCTCATTGTGCTGCTGACCGCTCTTGATGCAGCCTGGAACTACAGCATCTGCTCTGATGCTTATCTACAATCAGAAGAAAACTTTGTCCAGAGGTACAAAAGTGCAACCAAAATTCAGTATGTTTGTCTCCATGCCAGGGCTAGTACACGGAGAAGTCGAGATTAAAGGAGGGAGAAGGCAGCAGACGCACTTCGTCACCCCCAAACTCTTCCCTCTCTTCACCGGTTAAGTGTGGCAACTCTTCAGCTAGTTACAAACACATCTTTCACTAATGTGGGCTTCTATCCAAATGCAATCCTCCAACGTACTCTGTAGCACGCTGGAGAGAAATGCTGATCTACCTCACGTTATAGGGAATCACCTGCCAAAGTTGGGGTGGAGAGCACCTTTCCTTCTACACAAGGTAGAGGAAGACGGTAAGATTTATGTGAAGTTTTAAGCTCCAAGGTGGATGTGCACCTGCCACACAAGAACCCTGCCTGAGCCAGCAGAAGGACTCGGCTGCACCACTGACTGCAAAGCAACATGCCTTCGTGTTGTGAAATCTGGCAAGAAGTTTCATAGAAGATTTAAACACTCATTTGACCTTGATTTAGAAGTCCAATTCTATCAGCAATAGAAGCAGTCCAGGAATGCGACGTTAACATACAAATAAACGTGTCAGAGAGCAGCCTTACATAATCAAAGTGGAAAGTATTTCCCCTCAGCCAGGAAATAAAAATGACACCTCAACAGAAAGCCCTCGCCTCCACGCTTAAGGCCAGAAGACTATTTCACCTTCCCTGAAGCATCAAATGAGGAGTTTTACATCTCACCTGGAAAGCCAAAATGAAGTTTTAATGGGCAAGGGTGTCAGAGACAAGACAAGCTATCACCTTCAGACACGATTTTGAGACTGGTTTCCTAGACAACTGCTCTGATCATGGCTGAAATGGAAGAGATCTTTGTACCAAAGCAACTACAGACATAGAGTCCAAGCATTTGACTTCATTTACCTCCTGTTGTTCTGTCTGGCTGGCTAAGTGCTCAGTGTTCAAAAGGTGCTTCTGCAAGGGTTCCTCAGGGATCCCGTTACAGATCAGCTCGCCATCTCTAATTGCTGCAGGCGCAAGTAACGGGGGTGGAAGCCGGTATTGGGACTTTATAGCATCAGGAACCTACACAGAGAAAGAAGATCACACATGAGAACAATTACTCAAGAATGACTAGTTAAACAAAGCGCCTAACCAGCACTACACTTTGTGTTTGCTGCCTCCTGACCCAAAGGAACCCTGCAGACAATACATTAGAAGTTTCAAGGACTAAGTACTTTAAATTGATGCAGCCATGCTGGAATTAATAGGTTTTATTCCCTTAGGTCAGGCATGACTTCAGCACAATGTAGTGACTACAGCGTAAGAGAAGTCATGCAAAAAAGGCCAAGTAAGAAGGGCATTACGCTATATGGCATTTTTCAGGCATTCTGGCAGCAAATACTCTCTGGGGTTTAATGCAGAACATGCAGCAGCCCCAATTCTGAATCTAGGGCCACCTTCAGGAGGTTTTGTGTTGTACTTTCTAGGCTTCTGCTAGATTTAAAGGCTTACTTCTAATAGCTGAGCCTTATGGTTGGTGGAAAAAGAGCTTCTTGGATCCTACACGTAGTGAAAAGCAACTGCTGACTTCCAGACCTCTCACCAACACATTCAGACCCCACCCTCTTCCTCCTGCCCCAGGAGGCTATCCCTATGGGGCATTCTGGTTCCCTTCCAAGCTAGAGCGCATATACAGGGAGTTTCACAGACACCTACTTGTTTACACGTACCTTCAAACCTTTTCTCTTTACTGATTGAAGAACTCTGCGATTCGGAGGATGTTTCTTATGGATTCGGTTTAAGAAATCCACTTTGACAACATGCTGAGATATGGTGTCCTGGAACCGGTCAAATACTCGGCACCGATTACTCAGGGTCAAGTTCTTCTGGTTCAGCTGGGTGATCAGATAATGCCACAGGAGTTAGGGATCTGCGGGTCACTCTAATGTACCCTAAGACTTTCATAACGCCTCGTAGCACTGGCAGTACAGCATCAGCTCAGCTTTAGACTATTTGTTTCCTGCAGCACTAACCATTTCTGTTAAAGGGCACACTGCTGGAGATGAATACAAAAGCATTTAGAAGCCTACTAAGCAGCATCAATGCTCTCAGAAGTAGTTTGTCTGGGCACAAGCCCTCTGTTTCAGCCCCCTGTTTCCTGAGTATTTAAGTCTCAAGTACACTGCTTTTCCACAAATGAAAACTCCCTCTTGGATCGAAAGTTTTTTGGGCTAAGCATGCAAAGAATTACTTCCCCTATTTGTAGCACTGTGCTGCTTTGTATCACAGTTCTGGAAGCTCATCTAGATCTTAAGGAGTCCAGTCTGAAAACCAGACAAGCTGTCAGTGAGCCACAATCTGAGCTGTCAGCTTCAGTTACAGGAAGGAGTTCCCCCATCTTTATATGTTATTGCAGATAGCAGCATCATATTCCTTTGGAGAGCGCGTTGCTTGCAGCAGGAGCTTTACAAGCGTTACAGGGAGCAATAAGAACTCAGAAGCTGTTTTACATTTGTTGTACTTTGTCCTTTAATGGACCTGCCAGGTTCCACTCCAGCATCCGGTTACCATACTGCAATCATAGTCCTGCTTACCACCACATGTTCTATGTGATTTGGGCACATCCATCTACCCAGAGGCATGGCAGTAAGCGGTGGCTCCAGACAATCCATGTGGAACAGGAGTGGGCAATAATCACACTGAATTAGAGGTGCCACTCTGCAACTCCTGCAAAGAGAGAGCCATATCTTATTTCCCATACAGAATAGAGGGTACATAAACCGAACACGTGGGCAAGCTCGGCTAAACACTTTAGCTTATCTTTCCCCACCAATTCCTCTACACTAGGTTACTTGCATCTAAAATTAGGCTTCAGATTTGTAACTTAATCTATATGGACCTTCTGCAAGACCCTCTCAAGGCAAAAGGTCTTGCCCATGCACACAAGGGTTTCTTGGTGCAAAAGAGGTCCTGTGGCAGGAAGAGATGCCAAGGCTAAAAGCACTTGTCAGATTGACATAAGCAACTTCTCAAGTTGACCTTGAGCATTAGTTCTGAGTGGCTTCACTTCGAGCAAAATTCAGTGAGGAAAAGGAAATCTCAGATTTAGGTTATTACAGTTTTTCTCAGATGAAACTTGTGTGAAGTTGGGACATATACTTCAACAAGATGTTCTCAGAACAAGTTTTAAATTCCAGAAAGCTACTACATCCAATTTCCCAGGCTTTAAAGAAGTCTTCAGTCTATGACAAAGTCATCAGCTGTCCTCCACAAAAGCCTCACTCTCCTGAGTCTCCAGCCCACTTCCAGAAACTCACTCTGACTGGGTTCCTGAAATAAAGTTTTTTGTTTTCACTGCCATTTTTTATTGGGATTTATCTGGGCATTTTTTTATGCAGTTATAAAAATCAGAAGTATTTTGTACTGGTTTTCAGATTTACTGTTTCAGCACAATATTCTTATTTGCCTTGGGCTTCTATCTCTCTCAGTAGATTTCAATTTCCTAAAGGTCACCTCCTCGCATACTTCCTTTGTGAACCATAAACATCTCCGTTTTCTAAACCACCATCACTTTAGATTTTTTCTTAGTAGAAAAATACTGAAGACAAGATGGGTCACTCTCTTCAGGCTACATTTTAAAACCCTTTACAGCCACGCATGGCTGCAGAAGCGACACCTATGCTTGCCATGTTAAACATTTGTTATTTTACAAAGATGATTATTCCCCCATTTGTTTGAAGGATTGTGAAGCAACTAATGAAGGAGGATGGGAAAGGGAACAGGTCATCTACTTTCTTCAGCAAGAACTTTGCTCCTGCGAAGGGTGCAGCTACACCAAACAGCTTCCCTGGAAGACTCAAGTACCTGTTGCATGTGAAGCAGACTTTCACCGGCAAGGGAACCAAACCATTGTGGTCTAACTCGTGTTGTGCTTTCTTGACATTCTTTCCTGTGGTTTCTTCCTTTCTCCTCCTCTTACTAGTACCTGAAAGTAAATTTTAAAAGGCTTTGGGTTACCCACATAGCAGAGATTTGCTTTCTGGTAGATAGACATAATCATCTCAGGCAGAGGCAAACAGAAAAGGCAAAAAAGAGCTGCTTAAGGAACCCTTATCAACCACTAAATCTAGCCTTAAGTGACAGAGACTGTCTGTAAAGGGAGGCATATTTTAGCCTTAATCATTTCAGTGGCATCCTATACATGAAGTCAGTACTTTGTTACTAGATTATCATATCATAAATCAAAATCAAGTGTTTTGACAATTGGTATTTTTTTCTTCAGATTGGTGATCTAGACTAAGGTGACAACAGCAAGCCTCTACCACAAGTGCTGATGGAGATATCGTGTGTAGTAGCGGTGTCCCCACAGGTCACACCTGACAGGCCACCTGCTGCTGGACAGCTGGAGGAGGACCAGGGGTACTTCTGTACCCTCTGCTTTCACCAGTGAGCATCACTGGAGCCACAACTGCTAAGGAGTCAAGGGGGAAAAAAGGCAAGATGGCAGCAAGATGCAACGGCGGACATCTTCACCAACACTAGACAAGCCATCGCTCACCTGGAAGTGCTGTGGTGCAGGTCAGTTCATTCGGCAACTGGAACTGCGTTGGGTTCCTTTCCATGGCAGCAGCAATAAGAAGCTCAAAGGGTCGCTTCAGCTGGGGCTGCCCACAGTCCATTTCTGCAATGGCAGAGTCATCATCCACGTCAATTATGTCCTCATCGACATCATTCTGCTCTGAGTTGGGGGTCTCGGTGCTGGCATTGGATGTGGGAGTGCCAGGCCGGCTTGCTCTCCTTTCCAAGATCCTGGCATGCGCATTAGCCCTGATGCTGCTGCTAGACCTGTCCAACAGGTCTGCGTCACTGGTGGGGGAGGTGGTCCTTTTCCCAGATTTGTCCACCAATCCATTTACCTGCCCCAGCTCTTTCTTCTGTTCTCGCTTCTGCACGACATGAATAGGCAAGCTTATCATGAAGGCCACAAACAAAGCACATCAACCTTGACAAATATGCAATCGAAGACAAACAGCATCTGAAAAGGCTTAAGCCACTTACTACAACTTCCCCCGTGAAGTCATTAAAGCCTTGACCTAGCAAAAACTGTTTGATTGCAGCCAACATACAGATGATGAAACAGCTGAAGTGAACCAAGCATGGGGAAGAAAATTAGCCTGTCTCTCTCCTTTCAGGGTAGCCATATTTGAGTCCAGATCAGGACAACGTTTCACAGCATCTAGCCATAAATACCTGACAAATTACACAACTGTTTACTTTGCTCAACAACACCAAGCATTCCACAGCAGACCATCCATTGTCGATGCAGCCTGTTAACCCTAGCAGTGCATCCAAACCCGTTACGGAACGAGAAGGTCAGCTTGACAATACAAGCACAATATACAAACAACACTGCTATCTCTTGACAACAGGAATCTTGAACAAGGTGGGCAGGGAGAACTGCAGCAGAGGAAAACAATGCGTTGCAATCACCACGAGATCCATTTCGCAACAGGAGGGGATGCTGCATGGCCTAGTACAGGCAACTGTGCACTGCTCCAGTGCCTGACAGCAGCACCAACATGGACAAACCAATCTACTCAATTGCTAAAATGGTCTGTAAAAGGAGCAAAGTGTTACTATGTAATTTTTAATACAGAAAAGTTGGGGATTTTTTTCTTTTTCTCTCTCTTTTAAAATTTGTTATTTTTTTTAAAATTTGCGACCTTCATAAAAGTGTTGGCAGATGGCTGAACAGTACCCTGGAAACATTAACAAGGCAATCGCTTCAGGAACAAAAGGCTGAGTACACAGTTTTCTTCCAATCTGTTTTGGGTGTCACTTCAAGGGAACAGTTGCTAGATAGTTTGGTGCAGTTTCTAAACCCTCTGCTATGCAGTCTTACGTAGTCACAGCAATAAGATGTTTACATTGTGCAAGACAGCTTCCTGGAGAAAGAGTATCAAGGAAAAAAAAAAACCACCAAAAAAAAACCAAGCCACAATCTTGCCCAGTCACCTCCTCCCCATCCTGTTCAACAGCCCAGGAAATCATAACTCACTGTGATTTCACCCTCTGCTGATGTGCAATTGCTGTGAAGTCACACTTCTAAAAAACACACACTAACCAGAATCACAGCCCTGATGCCAAAGCTGCATTAACACGATTCCTGTTTTGCCTGTAGACAGCTCACCTCCTTGAGCATGGGAGCCATTCCCATTCCCTCTGTGCCTCAGCTCTCCCTCCTTTCCAGAGGTGGTGGGGGGGAAGGAAAACAGTTTAAAAGGCACAGCTTGACAAGAACATACCAGGCACTTGAGTTTTGTGGTTCCTAGTTGAGAGGTTAAAAGTACCAGGAGGGTCTCATCAAGACCCCTTGGTTTTCTTTAAGCCTGTTCCTAACAAAGCCCTTTGCAACTGTGAGCACAATATATCCGGTGGTATATACGTACACATTAAGGGGAGAGGAAGGTATAAAACCCAGGGTTCACATTTCAAATGGACAGTCTGAAGGGCAGGGATTTTGTCTGTTACAAGAAGCTTTACCTTGCGGCGTACAGTGCAGCGGTGACACATCCACTCCCCTGGAGGCAGCATTTCCTCGCTGAGCGGAGGGTTGCTACAAGAGAAAGACAAAGCAATGCTTAACTGTTATTTCTGGAATGCCTCTTCTCACATACATGCAGCCCGAGTCAGGGTAGCTCTGCCGGTTCCGCTCACGGGCACATCCTCCTTTTCTTCATGGTGATGCTCCCCGGTTGTGCTCCCTCATACATCCACTTAGCAAGACACCTCTAAGAAGCCAGTCTTCCATGACACCCATCTCATCTCCACGATGCAGCATGCTCCGTGGTTTCAGAAGACAGAATTGAATAGCAAAGATATACGGAAGATTCACTCGTGTGCAACACATATACCCCCCCCCCCCCCAACACCAACACCTCCTTAAATAACTTGATTACTCCATGTAAGACTACACAGATTCCCGTGCGGCAAGCACAGTCATGGATCTGGGCATTTCCATCCCTTGAATGTGCAGCGTGAGTCCAACTGAACAAGCTGCCATCAAGTCCACCTGCTGCTTCTCAGGTACTCCATCCCTGGGCACACTTACTTAATGGTGGAAACCACGTTCTATCTTAGGACAACCCAAATACTCTTAAAAGCGTCACCATATACAGCTTGCCTTGGCTATGAAGCGCAAGATACATCCTACTCATATGGATCTGCACTTACTATAAAAGCTGTGTCACATCAAAATGACATTCTCATTTTGATGCTAGAAATAAACCAAAGCAAATTAGACGAAGGAGTAAGGAGGACTATTTTGAGAAACACTTTTCCTCAGTTAAAGGCAGAGCAGCATATGTTAGATGATACACTTTCCTTACAGATCCTACTACTAGCTCAAGTACTTTCCAACACCTCTTTATCATTAAGATTTGTTATTTCAGCAAACTGCTGACGGTTGCAGGAAAAGTGTACACGCTGTCAGAAAAACAGCTAGTTACCATGCTTTAAGATACGCTTCTGAAAGTTCTGCCTCCTGATGCTAGGGACAGCTGCATAGCAAGTCTGCTCTCTTGTGCTGAAGGCTCAACGGATAGATGCGCTATCACAGGACCTGGAAGCTCCATTTCCCACTGACTGGGAAATGGGTTACAAGGGATGCAGCTGGGACTGACTGGGTTACAAGGCGATCAAGCAGTAGTGTGGTCACACTGGCAAGGAGCTTACAAGACGGCCCAAGAAGCCACACAAGCATAGGCAGCCAAACTGTGGTTCAGTTCAGGAGTCTCTATACTGTTTATTGCACCTACAGACAAATATCAAACCAAATCCAAGTTAAGATTTAAGAAGTCTCCAGCACTGACAAGCCAGCGAGAATAAGATGCGTATTTGTTGGCCACTAAGAGCTGCGCTTTGCAGCAAAAGGAGAGGCTGTCTTCCTTGAGAATCTTGCTCCTAGCACAGGGAAATGGCACAGGATCCCAGCCCCGGCTCCCAAGCTTGAGCTGTAAAAACAAACACGCTTCCTTTGTTTAAACAGAGTCCCGGCGAGCCTTGCCCCGAGCGTGCCAACGTGCCGACAGAAAGCGTCCGCAGGTACCGCAGCCATCCAGGGTCACACTCGGTCTTGCAACACTGTGCCTGGAAGACTGAAGGAAGAACACAGCAAGAACCAAACTGGTAATAACCTCAGCATTTCTGGTGTCAGGCTCCGGGGAATTCAGTAGAGCCAACACATCTGGCAGCCATTTTGAGGAGGAGCGCAGGGTTTCAGAGGCCTCCGTGTTCCAGGCGCTCCAGAAACACAGCGCTCTGCATACATGCACAAACATACCTGCAGCTTATGTTTCTCATTTCCTGAAGGACTTGGATGAACAAGAAATCAGGCTCTAGATGAGAGCACCACAGCCTCAACTACTGGCTGCTTTACATGAAGTCTCAAATGTTTGGCTGAAGCAGTAACTCCGCCCTGCCCCAAACTAATCTTTTGCTAATAGAAGCGCAAAAGGGGGGTGGAAAGGAGGGGAGTAACAAATGATCCCCGTGTGCTCGCTGCAGCGTAAATCCATTCTGAGTCCTGAGGTGGATCCTGCAATGGCTCAGGTTTTACTCCTGCTAGAAACAGAGCTTTTAGATCTGCAACTACAGTGAGTATGGATTCATCTGGCCCACTCCCCCTTCCCCTCCCAGCACCCCAGGGGAAAAAAAAAAACCACAAAACCCTACAGACTTTGATTTGTTCGTAGCGAATTTTAGCCCTCTGAAGCTACCGACGAGCGTGCCTGAACTGCTGGAAACACGTCTGCCCCATTCCAATGCACGCGCGGCGTGCCAGGGATCCACACGCTGCCAGATGCCTCTGGTTATTTGTTTTAACTGTTACCTCAATCTTACGCATTTTACAAGGAAACAATTAATACCACGGTGAATCTTGAGAGATGCCTAGAAGAGAACAGGTTTCTTAAGTGTGTATATTATTGTCCCACTTGGTATGTTTGAGTTATCTGCTCAACAACCATGAGATCCTACATACACAGTACTCTTAAATGACAGCTTAGAGAAGCATTTTAATGAATGCTGCTACCCAAAGGCCTGTGGAAGGAGGGGGAAAGATTAGTTTCACACCAGCAGCAAGGTTTTAGCTCTCACACTAAGCCTCCTGAGTTTTTTGCTTGCTGTCAGGGCCTAGCCGCTATAGCAAGTGTATTAAAAGACTGATTCTGCTTCTCCTGGTTAATGAACTGTTCATCAAGGCAGCTCGCTGCACTAACAAAGACTGATGAATGCTGTTCCTGCACTGCTGGCCCCTCTGCAAGCAGAGAGCATTTCCTGGGTCTTAGCATAAAGCCAGGGAAGCGCTAAAGAATGCCATTTTAATTGACTAGTTATGACCACATTCTTCAACCTTTTACTGTAAGCATAAGAGAAACTGATTTTTAAATGTGAACAAGATACTTGATCTTCATAACCAAGGTAAGAATTAGCACTTTGGCAGGAACACCACGGCCGCTTTCTCCCTATCTTTCATAGGTTCATTAGCATGCAGATCTCCAGCCGTTAGTGTCTGCTGCCAACAGGACCTGGAACTGTACAGCACCAAATTTATCTTCAGTTACAACACATCTCCTTTCAACTACACACCAATCAGTTGTACTGTTCCGTACAATTTCCCTGAACCTTAGTTTTGGAAAGCTTCCCCTTCTGTCATCACGCAGGAGTGGTGGCCAGCGCTATTTTACCTGGAAGGTTTGGTGGGACCCAGGTCAGAGCTGCTCAGCAGAACGCGTTTCTGAATTCAAGACAAAGACAGCTCTGAAAAAGTGAGTCTGACTTTCAAGGTTAACATCGATACAAACACCTGGAAGACCAACTCATACAAAGACTCTGAAAATTAAAGATGTTTATCACCACCTATTCAAAAGCCACTACACCGATACAAACTCACTTTCCACAATACTAGTCTCATGGCTTTTTCTAAAAAAGTTAAGTAGCGTCTCCTGAAATTCATACCAGATTTGTGTTGTCAAGACTTGCTCTTGTAAACTTTTGGACTAGCTCCCATGGTCAGATCATTATGCAAAGCCTCCCTTCAATAAAATTTAAATGGCTATGAAGAAATAAAAAATCTTCAAGAGTCATCCATATATCAGGAGTTTTTATCAAGCAAACAATAGCATGAAGCCACTTAGCTTTTCAATTTCACACTCTGGAGCTCTCGTACATCAGATGCCTGTTGTTAAGTCTAAATCCCGTAATTACTCCTCACTTTGCTGACCTCAATAAATAAGTAAACAAGCGCTCAAAGGAATGGTACCTTCTTCAGTCCAAACTGGGCTGTAGCTCTCAAAGGAACCAGTTATATGCAAACCTGAAGTTATTTACACACAGCATTCCTGGTGGCCATCTTGCGTCAACGGCACGTTGACGCCACTGAGAGCATGCTCTGGACCCACCAGGCTACAGCCAGCTATCACGCTGGGGTAATGGCGGCAGAAAAACAAACCAGTGTCTGGCAAAGCTTTCTTGAATAACTTGTCTTTGATGTCAGTTGTTTTCAACGATGGGACTTAGATATTTTTTTCTGCACAGGGGAAAACACTAACCCCATGAAAAAAACGTAGGCGAGAACTTTTTTCCTTCTCAGAAATCTTCTAATTAACTTACCAAGACTCAATGGCAGGCTTACAACGAAGGATGCCGGTTATGTTTGCCAGTTAGATAAAGGAAGAAGGCTTTCAGCTCTTCTACTGGACTCCTATTTATCCCAATGATGGATAGAGCTACAGCTGTTCTACCAGCTTCATAAAGAACAAGGCTCCCTGGCTTCCCACAGCAGGGCCTCAACAGCAGCCGTAACTAAAACAAACCAGGAAACCAACCTCGCTGTCAGAGCACTACAAGCGCCCCATTGAGAAACAGAGAAAGTTGCATCATTTACAAATTCTGTTCTTTGAAACAGTTTTACTGCGCCCAAGTTACACACTTCTGGTCACAGCTGCTCCAAAGCCCTGTGGGAGGAGGACACCTGGAACCCGGCGCTGGGAGCCTCTACCTTATACATAATAAAAAACACACGAAACAAGCTAACAGCTGCAGTCTGCTGCAAGTTCCTCCCCGATGCAACTCTCTTACCTTCCTATTGCAACTCTTGGATCAAAGAAGAGTTCGCTTTTTCTTCACTTTTCTGAAGACAGAAATCAGACTCCATTACCTGAAAGATGGTTATTAGGAACACCATCGGCTCTCTACTCTATTCCAGCAGTGTCACGATTATTCCTCAGCACAAAACTACTCGGTGAAGGTCCACAAGTTCTTCAAACTCCATCTGCTCCTTAATTTGGATAAAGTTGTGACACTCAGGAGTAAAAGAAACAATCTTCCCCATGAAGCCAAAGATTTCTCAAGCACTGAAGCAGAGACCACTGAACTTCAGAAAAGCCAGGAACAACCTGATCACATTAAAACCAACAGGCTAACTTTTTGGCCTTGATTAGGCTCACATATTTTATGTTGTACCTACTCAAAGCCAGTATTGCAATTCACATTAACTACAGAGCATCAGCCACTATACTTTTATCTGCGGTGCAACTCCTCCTGAGGGAACTACTA